TTTCATGTGCCTGTTGGCCACCTGGATGTCTTCTTTAGAAAAGTGTCTACTCATGTCTACTGCCCATTTCTTCACTGGATTATTTGTTTTCCGGGTGTGGAGTTTGGTGAGTTATTTATAGATTATGGATACTAGACCTTTGTCTGATATGTCATTTGCAAATGTCTTTTCCCATTCCACCGGCTGCCTTTTAGTTTTGTTGATTGTTTCCTTTGCAGTGCAGAAGCTTTTTATCTTCATAAGGTCCCAATAATTCATTTTTGCTTTTAATTTCCTTGCCTTTGGAGATGTGTCAAGTAAGAAATTGCTGCAGCTGTGGTCAGAGAGGTTTTTTCCTGCTTTCTCCTCTAGGGTTTTGATGGTTTCCTGTCTCACATTCAGGTCCTTCATCCATGTTGAGTTTATTTTGTGAATGGTGTAAGAAAGTGGTCTAGTTTTATTTTTCTGCATGTTGCTGTCCAGTTCTCCCAGCACCACTTGTTAAAGAGACTGTATTTTTTCTATTGGATATTCTTTCCTACTTTGTCAAAGATTAGTTGGCCATACTTTTGTGGGTCTCATCACTTTAAAACAACTCAAACATTACCTTAAAGAATGGGCTGTGGAGCAGTTGCTTGCCACCTCTTACAATAGGATCTTCATATTCAAATTGCCTTTGCAAAGCTTCCGGAAGGCCTTTTACCAAAGCAGCAAGAGCACTACCTGTAAAACTCTTAAGAAAACAACAAGATTATATCCTAGTAAAGCAATCCAAAATGTAGGGAAAGTAACCATTTTATTTCTGTGAGTCAAAAGTTTTGTCATATTGATACTATTCTCCCTAAAAAAATGTGTATTGATATTATCAAATAGGTTTGATGAACACTAAAATTTAAAAGAAGAGCTTGAAAATTTACCTCAGAATGCTTGGTCTAGATTTCAATATAGCCACTTGCAGGGAACCAGGCCCTTTTTGGCCTACAAAGTCCCAACTCCCAAGATCGTTAGGATCAAGCATCCTTTTAACAGTAACTACCTCATCCAACAAAATAAGGGGATGTGGTGAGCCAGACTTGTTGCAAAGTCTAACAGATACAATCCTATGCTCACAGCCATTGACACATCTTTGTTTCCAAAAATCACAGGCCAGCCTGCACTCAGTATATGGAGTAACATAAAGGAGTCCGGATGGGACAAAAGCAGGCTTATTGTTATGTAGAATTTCCCAACTCTTC